AAACTTCGGCATCTTGGGGGACTCGGTCGATTCAAAGAACAAGCGCAGGCGAGGGAACCTTCCCAAGCCAGTCACTGATATTTTAAGGGCCTGGTTCCATGAGCATCTGGATCACCCCTACCCGAGCGAGGAAGATAAACAGATGTTTATGACTCGCACCGGGCTTACGATCAGCCAGGTTAGTTCTCCAAGACCCTTTACTTGATCACAGTCGCTGACGACTTGCGCGCTGCAGATTAGCAACTGGTTTATCAATGCACGGAGACGACAACTTCCGGCGCTTCGGAATCAGATGCGAAACGGCGCTAGTGATCTTGATTCGCAGCGGCAATCACCGTTCAGCGACATGGAACAAACGTCTTCCGAGTCACCGAATAGGCTCAACAGTACGAACAAACATTGAGCCACCCTCTCATTTGTCGTCTTCCTGTTGCCTTCCTGAAACATCCCTGGTTACGACGAGCAAGCCGAACAAGAATAGACCCGTACGATCGTGATACCCTCCGAACCTTTCCTAATAATCTAATCTCGTTGATGATCCTCTATACGGCTACGCATTATATTTCAACGTTGGGACGAATTTTATCCGGCCTGAGACTCATTCTCGACACCAGAGTCCATGTACTTTGGATATGCATACCAGGTGTTTACGGGTTGCCATTTGTTTGATTTCTTCTTTATACTACACCAATGCGTTTCCGTGTCTTCTCCTTTTTTGACCTGCATTTATTGTGGTTATCATATGGTTTCTGATGAGTTGCAATGTTTGAGCGACACCCAGAGCATCTGAACGATCTGTACAAGTATGGATGATGTGATCATGTCATGTTAGTAGAACTTCCCAGCCACCTCTTTCAGCCCGCACTTGATTCTGTGCTTTCACTCTATCTCTTCTTCGTCCACCAACCAGACACATTCTGCGTTTTGGATACTAAGCAGACTGCATAAATTAATGAAACTCCTTGATTTCATTTCGATTAGTCTTCGAATATGGGGCAACACAAACGAGCATCGCGATTGCCGAGACTCTGCAGGATGGCCTTGGACTCTCAGTGACACAGCGGGAAGACAATGTGCGAAGCGTATTCCGCCGTGTTCCCATGTCTACCTGGAACCCTCGTGCCCCTGCTCTAGTTCATCCGCCCAAGAGTGAGCCATGGAAGCCAGATTGGCCGATGCTTTCGAACCAAGTTCGCTAAAGACTTGGACGAACCATGGTTCGGGGAAAAGTGGCCAAAACCACGGAACGAGCCAACACGACCCCGCTCCAAGTCTGCTCAGGCAGAAATGTTCGCCCATCATGATTTGTTGCGCCGGCCCAAGATCCTGGCACGCCAGATTTGACAGTCCCAAGTGCCTCCTGAAGTTTGGCATATTTCATAGATAGTTCACTTACGGTACGAACTCGGCCTGTTGGAACGCTAATACTGGCACGACCACATACCAAGGCTGAGAGAAGGAGTCGCACTGCTTTTGTGCGACGGAAGATACATCTCTTGAACCTAAGGCGGATTCTTTCCCCTACAAAGCACAGTACAAAGTTCCAGCATCAGCAATCGGGACACCCACTGATGCACGTCATTCCGACTGTCAAAAGGATCGAGATTCGAAGCCGAGTATGTGAGCTTTTAATGAGCATTTCCCATCATCCTGCGCCACAGCCCGTATCATTGCACGATATCTTCACTCTCATACGTGAGTGGCTGGATGAGATCCCGTTCCAACCACCGTAGGCAATAGGAACATGCCATGCACGAACTGGCAGTTCAACCGTCCCCTCCCCTGCTTGCATGGCGCATAGAATGTAGGAGGGGACACTTATGATTGGCACAGCGTTTACTTTCTTAATTGTCATCCGGGAGAGTGTATTACTAGGACTACGTACTGGGAATTAATTTAACGCCAAAAGCCCGTGCGCACATATCACTGACACATGAAGCACGGGGGAGCTGTCGAGCGACAATTCGCGATCTATCCGATCCATGATGTATCACATGGCGGTGAAGGCGGCTGCGCAAAAGGGTAGGGAGGGGGTCGGATTTCCGGGTTTACCATCTGCAAGATGTGAGGAGATGTATTCCAGACTCGCTAGTATTCAACCAACGGACGCTTGAATAAGGGCGATCAGTACTCAGTAGTCGGTACTCGGTAGAGTTATCCTGATGGTGGTTTATTGACGTCTATGAACTATGGATATCATCATCATCAACATCAGCATCAACATCATCATCAACATCATCATCGACCCTCGCCATCGCCATCGCCCGATAAAGTTCCACCAGGCTGGTAACTTCGAGGCTAGCCGGTCTTATTATGACTTTGACACTTTTTGAGGCGGTGCAATATCTGTTTTGGGTATGAGGAGGCGGGGAATTACCAATTACCATACTTGCTTACATACCTTACCACGGTCCACCAGTACTGCCCGCGTCTTCCGTACCTGGATACGGAGTACGGAATACTGACTGGTCTTCGCCAGTTGGCATTGCATTCTGCATAAGTGAAGTGCCCGAGCGTCTTGAATTATGGGTAACATCGCAGATGGAGACACAGAAGAAAAAAGAAACAAGGAAATTAAATGTTTGATGGAGAAAAGGGAGCGTCAACTGCAAAGAGAAGAAAGAGCCAATCTGCAAGCCCCAAGATATTTAGTTTATGCACCCCATTTTTTTGCTTTCAGGCTTGCTGAGCAGATTAGAGCCAGATGGTCAATCATGGTATTGTGGGTTAGGCATGGATCGACATGATCCAAAACCAATAATTGGGTCAATTTTTTTTTTTTTTTTTTCCCTTTGTTTCATTGTCAGTTCCTGGTGTGGATAGAGACGGAACGGGCTTAATCACCCAAGTGCCCAAGTGCACCCGTCACTGACATTAGCCTTCTCCCTTCTTGTCGATCCCGTCTGTTTCCCATTCGTTCTGCAAGGTATCCTGGTAACCTGGTTATGCTATGCGCCTCGCGGCTGGTCTTGAGGGGGGTTGTCATGGATATGAATGCCTGGCATTTATAGGGTACAAGGGATCCTTTGCCACTGTGCAGGCGCTGAGCCACCGTTTTCCCAATCCGGCATCTCAAACTGATCAGTATCCCAGGCGACTGCGACTACGCGTACAGTACATGTTCAATCTATAATAGAATAGTGAGAGGTAGATTGAGTCATGAATACCGGACTAACCCCTGCGTCACCGCGCAGTCTGACAAATACCTACAGTCCTGCGGAGTGCAAATAGGGTAGCGCGGAGCCGCCGTTGGAAGCTTTTTCCGGACCAATCATAGTCGCTCATTCATCTGGATATGACTTGTGTGACAATGTCCTGCACCGCAGCGCATCCATAAACATCTGGCCTTGTCTATCTACCCAGACTGCCACCTAGTGCTCTTACCCCATAGAGTACGCTCGGTCGGCCACCTCCGACAATGCCAGAGACCCTGCCAAGAATGAAGTATGTATCAAGTTCCAAACACCAAACCCCGATCGGGGTCTGACTGTGCCCATCTGCTAGACTAGCTATCAAGGCCGGGTTGTCCCGTCCGTTTCTGAGTGCAACTGTGCAATATGAGCTCGTAATATTCTTCTTTTTTTTTCTTTTTTTCGTTTTTTCTGTTTCTCTATTTTTCAGACCAAGTACGGACTAAAGACTACGGAGTTGAGGGGTAGACTATATTCTGTGATGTGATGATCGAAGTCCGTCCTGATCGACGCGTTCGCTCCTAGGCACGGAGACGGAGTAAGATGGTAGGGGGCTGCACTTGCACTTGCAACCATTCTTGCATTTGAGTCGTTGACTGCGCCGCACACCTCATTGGGTTTGTAGGCCCGCCCGTTGGGCCTGGTGGCTTACATATCGCGAATCGTACGACATGCCCCTAGGACCTGGTCCTGGCGAAGGCTGCAGATTGTGCTTGCGCTTGCGCTTCTGACGATGATTCCTCATTTGGGGATGTGGCACACGTGTTTCGCGTCGCCTTGGTGGGGTTTTGGTATTGAGCGTTGGTGGGGGTAATGGGGGGGGGGGGGGATACCTGGTAGTTTGCTTATGCGGATACTTGATCAAGAGTCTGGTGTTTGTTGGTTGAGTGATGGCTCGTCGGGTAAGTTACTGATGGATAGACAACAGTGTCAGTGACATTGCTATGCTTGTGCTGCCTCGGCTGTCATGAGCAGGCTGCAGGCCTCGGAGGACTTGCAACCACTGAACGAAGCAGGTTCGATTCTTAGTGAAACGTTGACTGCAGAGCAAGGCATCACTCTCCAGATGAGACGCGCATGGTTTTGATCTAACCAGGGCTGTCTCACGCTCACTGCAAGTTGTTCAGTCAGCTAATTCTCTCTCTTCCCAGGACTAGATACGCTTCCTATCAAGAGAGACAATACTAGGCCGACATTCCCTATGCTTCTATCGAATATCCCACGAGTCGAATTCTAGTCAGTGGTTAATGACCATCCACCGCATCGGATATCTAGATTCAATGCAAGGATAAGGAACGGTGCGTTCTCCATTGGGGTGTCTCTCGTCAGGACTGATCTCCAGGAGTGTGCTCGCCTATACTTGGTATTGCAGGCTGCTATGCCTTCTTCCCGCGTATTAGGACACTCGGTGCAAGTACTGCGTCACCTTGATTTTTATGCTGATCGCAAACGGCGGGGTATGCACAACCATGTGAAATTCACTGCCTTGATATTGCTACCGTCCCAGGTAAAAATCTATGATGTAGATATGCGTATATACACATGATAAAATCGAAACAGATGATCGTCCAGATTATAAGAGGTCAATGCACCGCCCCGCTAAAACAGCTGAAATCAATAGAAAAGTCCCAGATTCGCATAGTACTTAACCAACTGAATAATCAGCACAGGAAACGAACCTTGGCAGCGAAATGCTCCGGTCAATCGAACCACCGTGGTCCAGCCGAGATCAACTCTGGTGATACGCCGAAACAATGGATGAAATGCAGAAAGGCCAAGCTGGAGAATAATGTACACCGAGGAAAAAATTTACCAGGTTTCCTATGCGCCGTTAGTGAACTTTGTTTTTCCCGTCCAAAGGGCGAACTTACGGCAATATATTGACCGGCTTCCTTCTTGTTCTTCCAAAAGTGCTCCGCTTCCTCGCGATTCAGGTTACCCTTGGCCATAGCGACATCAACCAAGGCCTCCTCGACGCCTTCTCCCATGCCCTTGCCGCTACCGCAGACGAAAACACGTCCGTCAAGGGCATTGATGACGAACCAGACCAGGTCAGCCTGATGACGAACCTCTTCCTGGACGTACTTGCTCTCGCCGCGACGACTCTGGACTACCGTCCGCACCTTATCCTCTTCAACGCCCCATTCGCCGCTGTAGAGCTCATCCAGAAGAGAATCGCGAATACCCTGTAAGACCCAAACCTTGTTGGCACAGTTGGCCGACTGCAGGCGGCGCTGGACGAAACCCCGGAACGGGGCAATGCCGACACCAGCGCCGATGAGGAGCATGGGACCGTCGGAGGCAAATCGCTTGGCCAGAGGATTGGCCATCAGGCCACGGAACATGGGAACGTGGAGATCCAGAGTCCGGGGATCGATGCCCTTCCGCTCAGCATCGATGGCCTGTCTGGCGAGCCGCTCAAGATATCCGGATCCGACTCCGGTCCGAGTACCGCCCCTCCAGTCCTCGGTTTCAGCCACAGACACTGCGATCTCAACGAGTCTACGGCACTTGGTATCCTGCCTCTGGCATGAGATCTGAGGGTCCTGCGACAGGGAGTAGAAGCGTGGCATCAGGGTGTTCAGAACGGATAAAAGGTGGTCGAGGGGTGGCTGAGAGGAGGGGAATGCATGGAGTAGCTGGGAAACGGTAATGTAGGATCCTGTGCGGAGATCGCAGAATGCACCCTGGCCCTGGGCTGAAGAAAGGAACATGAGTATCTTCTTCTCATTGGGTTCGGTTGCGTACTCGGCGAGCAGTCGGAATAGAGGCTTTGTGGGGGGGTAGCTCTGAATATCGGAGCACCAGCTCAGGAGCTCTCTCCGGGTGGTGATCAGATCCCGAGGTTGGTCATCGCCCCAAATCGTAGGCCACCGGCCCTTGGTGGTATGCAACGTGATCTTCTTGTCACGAATCGACTTGGGAATACCAAGCTGGTTGAAGATATCATCAACCTCTTCTTCCTTATTCCTGGGGCAGACACCAATCGCCCCACCCACAACAAAATCAACGTCTCCGCTCTCCGCAGGGTAGTCGGTCACGTCAATGTCAAAGTGGAAAGTCCGCTTCTCCGCGCCAGGCTTGGTGAGTTCTCGGGCGTGATGCAAAGGCGCCCGGTACACATTGTACGGGGGATGTGGCTGAACGAAAGTGGGCGGGTGGTCCGCGGGACCCAGCTTCAGATCCACGGCCGATGCCGGTACCACTGAGAAGGACACTGTCTTCTCTGGTATGGGAACAATGTTGGTAAGTTCACTGTCCAATGTGAGGTATTCAATATTGAGGTTGAGTTTTCTGAAGGCTTCATTGTCCGGAGGAGTGACAGCGTTAGCACTAGGGACCGGTCCGAGCTTGGTCAACGGCTGGCTGCGACAGCATCCACCACCGCAGCAGAGAGGCTGAACCTTCTGTGTGCCTGCGGTACCCACGCTCTCCAAGACCCGTCTCATATCCTCGGAGTTCTGTGAGATGAGGACAGTGGATGCTCGTCTTTGATGTCCATTTCCGCTCTCTGCTAACTCCTTTTGACTTTCGCGTGCATTAGGGTGCTCTTCATCTAGCGGAGTGAGAGGAGTCGGTGGAGTATCTAAGTCGGTCGAGCCTTCGGTTTCTTGAGCGGGTGACGAGCCATTGAAGCTCGTGTCAGTGATTGACAGTGACCGAATGCGAGGTTCTTCCGGAACTGGGTTGTCTGGGTGGGAGGTGGAAGAGACCGGGACGGCTCGGTAGTCCCCATTGCTAGAGTGACTGAACCTCGAATCCTTTGTCGAGGACGGCGTTGGTGGTAGAACGGCGTGCACTATAGTCAACAAACGGTTAGGCCTTGACTCAATGTCTCAATGCGAGTAAAGGTGCGAACGTACCCATTGTGTCGGCCGAGAAGTTTTGAAACGGAGATTCGGCGATCAATTGCCGAGGGACAGAAGAGTAGAAGGATATGAGGGAATAAGAAGGGGAGGAAACGAGGCGAGCGGCGAGACGAGACACAACGGCGACTGGTTGACTTCACAAGTAGTAATGACCGGATGAAGGAAAAGCTCAACGAAAATCAGCAATTGAGCTGCAGAGTCTGTCAGAACAGAACAGATAGTGCGCCCCCAAAGTCGCGGACATGCAGACTCGACAGGAAGAGTCGAAGAGAAGGGCGAGCGAGATGGGGAGATGCTGGAAGGATCTGGTCCGCGGAGAAAAAAGGAATGAATAACGGGTGGGATGATGGCGGGAACGAAAATGGCCTGCCTGGGGCAAAAAACCGGTGCCGGGATGGCGGTTCCGCTACGCTAGGTAATGATGTGTAACACCGGGTGGATCAGATAGGGATATCAATCAGCAGCCTCTACTGTCAGCACTTAGAATTGATGTCTCAACTCTCAATAATATAGATGCAAGAGGAGGATCAGATAGGGAGCGATGGAAAGAATTATTACAGAATGAAGCGCAGAATGTTAAGACCGGGAGATTGAGAAGATCAGATTACCGATCCTTGTTGTAACTCTTTTGCCACTCGCTCTTACGTAGGAACGCTCGGTAACTTTACTTCCTCAGTACTCCGTAAGTAGGCAGGTTGACTGTATCTGACGCAATCGAGCAATTTCTTATTATTAATGGAACTTCTGTACCTCAGGGTAGACTAGACTGCCATCGATTTGATTATCTTCTAACAATATCATCTACCCCTTATCTGATCTCACCACCCCCATGTACCCTGTACAGTTAAGTGTACTAAGATCCGCTCCTGCAGCTAAGCGGATCATTCTACATTAACCTACGACCAAGTCAGTCAATCATGCTAATCGCTGGCAGCTGAATGGACAGCTGGTCAAAACAATCTAGCCAGCAGTGCTAGTGTATAGCATACCTTCCAGCGATAAGTCATAAGAGCTCATCGAGACTCTGAAAGAAGTTGTGCCTCGTAAAATATGATGTATCGGACTGTAAACCGTACGACCAACGGCAGCCGGTTCCCCATTACCGTTACCGATCTAATCTGATCCGGTCGCCATCTTCCCTTGGCCCTGGTCTAGAGTCTAGACTAGCAGAAATACGTCGGCCCTCGGTTAAGATGGCACCCTGGCTCTCTCCTCCTGTAGAGGGGTATGAATTGGAAATATCGCTGGATGCCCAAGATGAGATCATACTTTACATTGCCAGCACGGAGGCGGCTTCGACTCCGTCCATCTGATGTAAGGAGGGGACTCTGAAAACGGCGGTCGGTAGGTCTGGGGTTTATCTGATCCGGACACTACATGATCCTTTACCAACCGACCTGGATATTCCCTTTCTGCCAAGAACATAAGGATGATTGATATTATTTGACAGAGTTTATTATTATCAGATAGTCATTCGCTTTGCTCGCTCCGTGCAATACGGATTACTCTGTGGAAATCACTGTGTGACTGTCAATTCCGAAAGTGGGGCCATGCCGATGTCGGACTCGATCATATCAATCAGATAGCAAAGTACCTTGCGGATACAGAATACGAAGTCACCCCTTAGTCTACCTCTTATTTTGATCTGATAAATGGAACCAATGATTGTATCCCAGCCACATGCCATCTAAACAATTTAGGTGTCTGTACAAGGCCATCAGGAAAATTCACACCGCTCAAACAAGGCAATGCAAATCACATTGAACAATCTCATCCATCAACCCCTTGAACTCACGACAGAGTCGTACAACTGAAACAACCATCACTTGATTCGTAAATATCAATAGTGCTCGCCCGTCGCCACTAACGCAAACGCCTATCAGCCGTAACTTCAGGCGCTAGCGAATTCATCGGCAAATAGGACTTTCATCCGAACGATATTCCCCTGACTTGTCACTTCGTTATCAGATCTTACGCCTGGGTCATTTACCCGGTGGTCTGGCTTACGGTGGCTTCTATTGCTCTACTAGTGGGTACCACAGTCTCGGTCTCTGTCCCAGCTGCGTTAAAAATAGGGTACAGCTGCCTTATGCTTAGGGATGAATTGCGCAACGAAAAGATCAGTGAAACGGCGGAGTGATGATCTGGCCAAATCGTAGTGCCCCTGATGTTTCCGAGATGCGGACTGGGACAAGAAGAGTCAGCTCGGGGAGTCAATCTCAGCTCCTGCAGCTGGTGCAATGACGTTTCATGGTACCCCATATTTATTCCTTTGTTAGCTAGGAGCCGCAGCTACTGGTATAAACCTTGTATCGAAGAGCTGGCAGCAAATCGATGCATTGTTCCTCTAATCGTTGCGAGCATTTAATGCATCTAACAAACCTTGGTATCTAACGAAAAGTTACTTGAACTCGAGCGCCGCTTGAATATGACCACGTCTATGTATACTCATTGCACCAAAACATAATCTATAAAACAAGAATATAAATACAAGCCAACAACCGAGGTTTCGTGTATCAATATCTCAAGCGCAATATCTGCCCTCTCTCTTCACCAGCGCCACGGGGGCGATGAACTTATGCCGGCCCCAGAGTAAGTAATAGACGGACGCAAAAGTAAGCATAGCAAGGTACATTACCACACTCCAATTCATTGTTTTCGTGTCTACTTTTTTCGTCAACGGGAAGAAGGAAAAGACGAAGATGGGAAGCAAGAAAGCCAAAGCGGCTATATTGACGGCCATGCCGAAGCGGCCAAGCGTCCATCGGCGAGGTGGCAGGGGCTCGCCCCGGATACGCTTCAGGAGCACGCAGCCTATTGAAAGAATGTAGGCAGAGATCAAGGAGGTGATTGTCAGTGATACGATGGCCGACAGGGCAACCTGGGAGCCAATGTTGATCAAGGAGAGGAGGATAGTGACCACTAGAGAGACCATGACCGAGTTGAGAGGGATATTCCATCCCGGGGTGACCTGATGGAGCGATTAGTAACGGTGCCAGAGTCCTGGTGTGCCTGGTTGTGTTCGACTCACATAGGCAAAGAATGATGAGAAGGGTAGTCCTTGATCTCGAGCAAAAGACCATAGCTGCCTGGATGCCGTTGCGACTTCAGTGATTGTGCTGGCTGTAAGCGTGATCACCAAGACCGCGGTCATTGTGTTCGTTGCCGCGTAGCTGTTGGTGGTATTGTAGAAGATCTGGATGAACGGAAAACCAGTGGGAGTACTCAAGATGCTGTCAACATCCCCCAGGGTGAAGCAGAGAGTGACAATCATGACAAATCCCAGTACTCCATTGACCGCAACAGCTGACATCATTGCTTTCGGCAGCGTCTCCGCAGCATCCTTGATCTCCTCGGCTTGGAATCGGCTCAGTAACGCTTCTGGAGGACGGGGGGTTGGGGGGACGGGGAAAACACGGCACTTACACATGTGTACTGAACAGTCATAGCCTATCATGGCTGTAATAGTGGTTGAGAGACCGACCAGAGTCGCAGTGCCATCAGTATCCCATCCTCCAGCATTATTGAATTCTGTAAACACTGCTTTCGCACTGTTTCGAGGAGCAAGAACCCAGAGGGGGATAATGATGGCGAACAGCCCTACCACATGAATGATCAGGATGAGTCCTTCCACCATGGGTAGGTTTTTGGCTAGGAATGTGTTAAACAATATTGAAAACGTCGTTATTGCCACCACCAACAATGTGCCGTGCCATCGCTGAAACTCATAGGTTGGGTCGTTTAGAACGACCAGCCCTTGTATGATCGTGCCAGCAAGGAAAGCGATGGATACGATAGCGCACTGCCATCCGGTTGCACTGAGCCATCCTATCAGCGTCAGTTTCGCCCAAAGCATCGCCCGATTCTGGCTACCTACCGGTAATGTAGCTCAAGAACTTTTGGCCTCTTCGAGGCGCAAACTCAGAAACCCAATGGTATTGACCGCCGGAGGTCGGAGCCCTAAAATCTGTCAAAAAGAGCTTGATCCAACGTGGAATGGCACGCTCACATGGACGCCATTTCCGCTATACTGGCGAAAACGAGGGCAAATCCTGCCGAGACAATAAGAAAGCCCCATATCAACCCAGCAGTGCCCCCGTCAGTCAAGGCGGAGCTCAACAGCCTTCAACTCCGGAGTCAGTTGCTTTGATCACTGGGAAATACAGGATTAACTGACGTCAATATGACTTCCCACGTTGAAATCAGCGTGCAGCCAAATCCAAGGATTGAGATGAAGCGGAAATTTCTCTGGAGGTTCGTTAGAAAGTCTCCTGATTTAGCAAACCTCACCAACTAACCCTCAAAACCTGCACTCGTCCTAACGCGCTCATGTCTCGTTGATCTGCAACTGTGCCCATATACTTCGGCGCAACAAGACCCTTCACAGGGTACCCGGCCTCTTGGGCGATATCATCCTGTACACAACATTCCGCTTTACTTTCCTCGAGATGGGTATCTTGAGGCGCCATGAGGACTGCAGATGAGCGAGCAGTGAAAGCTAGTCAGATAGTGATGCTAAAAGCTCAGCATGCAAGTCAAGTTGGCGGCATACGGCTCAGGTACGGAGAAAAGAGCACTCTTTTCTGATGAAGAGAAATAGCGACGCTGATGCGTTTGCCTCAAACAAGAAAGCGAAAGCTTTGCAGTAGGTATTCGCCGAGAATGATCGACCAATGGTCATCACGTCAAAAGCAAGGAGAGCAGAAGAGACACCCAGCCATGTGGTAAGGAGAGGAGAGGCGACGAAATTGATGGGACTTGCCAGTGCAACATTGCATAATCGCACATCCCTACCAGACATGGTCCAGGTAGGTGTACATTGGTAGCAATAGTGCACTTTCTCGGACCCGCTGGCGATCAATTTGTTTGCAATTTAAGTTGTTATCGTGCTTTGCTTTTTCCTGAAGGCACCTTGCATAAACAGCCAAGGATCAAAAAAGAACCCCCACAAACCGTGAAGCCAAACGAGACATGGGAGCAAAACCAGATGTCATCCCT